TGCAGCACCTTGCACTTGGCCTTGTTGAACTCCATGAGGTTCGCACAGGCCCACCTCTCCAGCCTGTCAAGGCTTTCCTCTGCTAACCTCATCTACATGCTGCTGCAAGGCTCAGGCTGAAAATGAGGATTCTCCTGCATGAAGATGAGGGCAGGATGAGGTGGCAGAGTGGTGGCGAGACCACAGGCTCTTGCACATACCTTCTTGGCTCCTGCAGTCCAGGGAGGCAGCGGAGGGCGAGGAGGAATCATCTCCTTGACCCTGTCAACGAGAGGACAGAAGAGATCAGCCAGACACGCTGCCAGCAACGCAGCCTGTAGTGCGAGGGCTCCAGCCTGTCATCGTATCCCGAGACACCTCCCAGGGACCCGGGGAGGGGGGAAACTGAAGTCTCAGGCCAAGAATTGAACTGTTCCTTTAGCTCACGGCCTCCTGGTCTGCCAGAACAGCCGTCAGAGAGGTACCTACCTGAGGAAAGCTCTGAAGAACTTTTTGACTGTAAACCCCGGGCCACCCAATCCATCAGTTCCCGACGTGGCACAGTGCAGCTGTGGCACCTCATCCCTTGGCCACTCACTGACTCCTCGACACCATATCAACCCTGTTCGTACCGCTACGAGAGTTACAATTACTTTCAAATACTGATCAAAAGCCCTTAGGATTATCGTTATTTTTTACTAAGAATTTATTAAAACCCTTGGTGCCAAAACAGCTTAAATTCATTGGGATTTTTATCTAGATTTCCTGCCTGCAGGGACTAAAACACCTTCGATCCTTAGAACACAATTAGCTGTCACATCCTTGTGTTGGCTCCTACAACGAGCAAAGCAAATTGCTTATTCCCCACCAAATCTAAACCACTCCTGTAACGGCTCTGCCAGCTTACAGAGCCCCTGACCACCTGCCTTCTCCAGGTCCCAAGCCCTTGGCCACTTCTCCCACGCAAACCCCTCTATGACTCTCTGCTGTGTGGTCTAGTGCTGTGTCCCTGAGTGGTCCCCTTGCTCTGCAGAGACCTGTCACCACTCCTAGGGAAGCCACAAAGCCTGAAGAAGTGGGTAGCACAGCTCCCACGCTCACAGTCCCACCCTGGCCCAGCTTCACAGCAGCCCCCGTCACTGCTGTGTCATCTCCACCAGGGTGCAGATGAAAACTGAACCGCTCGACTTGCAGATGAGAAAATCGACAACAACGCTGGGGAAAGCAAGCAAAGGGGGCCAGGTGGGTTTTTTTGGAGGGTTTAGCTACAGGGATATGGATTTAAACAGCTTTCCCAGAAAAAGAACCTCAGCATCACTCTTGTCTGCCAGGACACATGTATGGAACCCCCAAGACAAGAAGGACCCTTCCCACGACTCGGGAGCACCAGGCCTGACATCTGCAGCTGCACACAGCAGGTGAAGAAGGAGGAACTGCACTGAGTTCACATAAGTTGCAGGAGAATAGGAACGGTATAAAAATGGCCAGGAGAAGGTCTGTTGTAAGGGAGATTCACCTTCCTCAACCTGTTCTCCCTAGAAGACAAGTAGGCAGAACCGAAGACAACACACCTACTTTCCTTTCAAAGAATAGCTGCTGCTGCTGCTATGAGAGAGACATAGCACCTGCACGTTATACTTTATTTATTTACTGTATTTTCTCCCTTTTTATTCAATAAATTATCCATGCTAGGCTTTTCCTAGACTGTAACGCAGCAGGGCTATCGCTCCGTGCACGGGCAGCGACTGCCTCGAATCAAACAGTGGAAGACTCAAAGCAGCAGAGACAAGAGAGCAGCTCTGCAGCGGAACGACGTGAAAACTAGTGTAAGAGCTCAGGAACGGGTAGAAGATCTGTGAGAAAAGGACGAAACGATGGAATGCTACGGTGAAGTTACAGCAGCGCTAGCCAGGGCAGTCCACGCTGGTGGCCAGTCCTGACCCAAGCAGCTGAACATCACGTGCAAGAGGTAAGCCCATGGGGATTAACGGGAAACAAAGCCCAGACAGGAACGCGGACGCTGTTGTGCTGCTCTGGCTTCTCTCTTTTTGAGAGGAACGGCAGTGAGATGCCAGCTCGGATGAACACAAGTGTTTTCCCAACACACCAGAAGCCATCTCTTCAGCAGTTTGGCCAAATCCTCCCCCTGATGCCAGAGGGCTTTGGCTCAGGGCCTCAGTTGGTCCTTACGGAGCACTCCAAGGGGGTGGCTCGCTGTACAGCCCTGTCTGTGTCCTGCAGAAAGGAGTTGTCACCCCCAGAGTTACAGCACGTCTTCACGCACCGTCTGGTGAGCTCCTCTCGCAATCGCTTTGGTACCAAGGCCTTGTCCAGCTTTATCTCCATCACCAGGAACGTTCCTGCTTCAACGTATTGCTGTGAAGACAAACATTGTTCTCTCAGTGTCAGAGCTGTTACTGGCACGGTGAAAGACTGAGTGTGTAGCTACGGATCTTCAGCAGATCCTCTTCAAACTGCAGAGATACAGCTTGGTTTATAACCTGCCCTCAGAATGACTTACAGCAGCAAAATTCACCTCAAGAAACCAGTCTAGGAAAAAGGAGAAAGCCCAGATAATCAATCTGCTTGCATAATCAATATGCATTCTAGATGGTTTGAGGAAGAAGCCGAAATAGGCAGGAACCCTTCTAAATAAACACCTAATTATTTACAGAGACCTTCTAGCCCAAGGCTAGACTGCCCTCCAGCTGGACGTCACTGGAAGAACTCCAGGGCAGCACCGACATAAAACATGCCTTGTCCAACTCACTCTTGAAGAATTAAATTGCATGAAAGGTGTGAGACGGCGGTGCAGTGACGATCCAGTAGTCTTTCCTTCTCTTTGGAGGTACATAATTACCTGTCCATCAAGGCTGAGACTTGTGACATTTTCAGCTTCTGCAGCAGCATCTGACAACTGGATTTTGGGCCCGTTGGACATCTGTTGAAGAAAAAGAAAAGACATCTCTTGTTTCACATTCAATAAACCTCACACCTTCTCAAGTTCAAGATGTGAGTTGTACAAGATGTTCAGGCAGCGGTACAAAAATTTCAAGACAAGGAGTTTCTCTCAGTTGGCTGAGACAACACGGCATCAGTCCCTGGTTTCTTCATGCCCCAACTACCTCTGATGTGGAAATGGAGCAACCGTGTTGCGCTATGCCCCTCTAGACCTTACCGTTCTGTTGGAATCCTTATCTTTGGCGATCTTCTCCTTGTCTTCCTTCTGAGTTTTGCTGGGAACAGCTCTGGAAAGGGGAGTGCTGGTTCTTGGGGTCCACGACCCTTCCTTAGTCAGACCGAGCTGGGTCCTGAGATCCCGGAAAACACTGTGCTGACTTTTGGTCTGCAAAAAAGAGGGAACAGAGGGACTCAAGGGACAAACCAGACTCTGAAATGAGGTGCCTGAGAAAGCCTCAGCGGGCTCTCCTTGTCTTCTCTCGAGAGCAGCATTTTCACCGGCCTGAGCTATGTGGTGGACATGCTGGACCCCAGCCCCGTGCTGCCCTGATCCTGGCCCACTGCCCTGAATTCCTGGCTTGATCCTGGACCCACTTCACGGTTATGGACTTCCCTGGTGATACGGACTGTTTGATGAAGCTGGCTACCCTCACCAGGTCTGCTCTGCCATTTTTTGGGTGCCCCCACCTGCCCGGCAGTGACTCTCGGCAGTTCCCAGCCCTGCTCTGCAACAGCCAGCGGGAGCGTGGAGGCAGGGAGAAGGGAGAAGGGCTGTAATTCAGGCAGCTCCTGCGGCCTGGACAGCAGCAGAAAAACCAGGCTATGCATCAGCCCTCCTGAAACAAGCTCAGGTCTGTTCTGGGAGTACTGTGGGAAAATGGAGATGTAACTGTCACTCTTAGTAACAGAGGGGGGAGAAACGCAAAGACAAATAAACCTCCATGAGCTACAGCTGGAAGAGCTCCAGTGACAGCTTTTTTGGTTGTTGCCTGGGGTAACACTATCCTTTTAGAGCCACTGTTTGCTCTTCCCAGCAACGCAGTTCATTTGCCCACGTTCCAGACTGGGGAGAGAGGAGCGTTCTTGCAGCTCTCCCTGCTCAGCTGCTGGCAAAGAAAGGAGCAGAGTGAAATTCAGAGCCTCTCTCAGCCCCCAAACCTGCTCATGCACACCCAGAAATCCCCTGCCTTTCAGAAATTTGCACCTAAAAGCTCGTCTCATTATTTTTCTCCATCACCAGAAGGGTAGTGAAGGTTCAGAGCCAGCCTTTGAGTACCACGCTGCCCGTCCTGCCCGCTCCCAACCCCACTCTGTGCAAACACAGCTGTGGAGCTGGAGCACAGCCTGGCTGTCTGGCCTGCTCTCACCTTCTCAAACACCTCGCTGTCTTGGTAGGGAAAGACAGGAAAAGCACCTCGGATCTGCTTCACGCCAGGGCACAGCAAAGGCACCACGTTGACATACGCCACGCCATGGAAGAAAATCTGCTTGTCCTCATCTCCCTGGAAACACAGAGCAAAGGACTGAGATAGTGAAGGGACTGTTATTCTCTGTAAGGAAACGAGGTCACCGATCCCATTAAGAAGAGGCCGCCCAGCAAACCGATGCACCTGATGAGCTGGTGGCTCTCTGTCACTGGCACACAGCCGAGACAACCTGGCTGAAAACACTGGAGTCATTCGATATCTGGAATATCAATTTTATTTGAATCCCTGCAGGGCAGCTTTTCCCTCACCGCCCGCACTGCGCCGTTCCTCAGGACGGTCTTTCTGAGATAGAGCTGCAAAATTACCAACCATGGGTTAGAAATCCAAGTGACCCAACCAGAGCTGTGTATCTCAGGTTTGATAGAAATCAGGTAGCTAAGGAGGTCTGAGAGTCCAGGCTAGTAGCTGACTGGTGAGGGTAAGGGAGGAGGATCTCCTCAGAGCTGCAAAATCCTGGCACCAGCGAGTGCTGAAAGGGTTTATATACCAACTTCTATGACTTTGCCCTGGAACGATTAGGACCTCTCACTCGTCCAGCCACCAGGACCAGAACGATTAGCTAAGGAGCTGTTTCTTTGTTAAACCACCCCGGTTTATGTGCAAAAGCATAACTTATTTACACCCGGAGACAAACAGGCATGAATTTCTTCAAGATGCTCCAAAAACCCACTGGCCAAAGATAAGCTCGGTGAATTACCTGAAGGCTCAAAAAGCACCATCTCCCTGGCCCCCTTCCACCAAGCTACCACAGACTGCCAGTGAGAGCTCTCTCTATATGCTAGAAGGGAAAAAATATTATCCCTTGTCTATTCAACAGCTCTATAAGGCCGATTAATCCCTTCACAAAGCCTCTAGCTCTGACTCGCTTTGGCTGGTTCAAGGCTGGGTTTGGTATTACAAAGGCATTGAAAGGAAAACGCTCGATAACGCAATGCTGCTCCGCAAGCCAGAACAACATATCCCTCCCCACTTTTACCTTGTCAGCTTTGCTAGTCTTCCCTTTGCTGGGTGAGGCCACAGCCATCCTGCAAACCTCCACGGGCCAGTACCGGCACTCCGCAATGCGCTTCTGCAGGCTGAACACAAAGGAGGGCACTGAGAGATGCAGAAACCAAGCTGGAGAGCAACACTGCCCTTTTTTCTGCCCCATTAGCCCCAAAGCATCTCCCCTTGGCTTTGCTTCGACCCACTCCCACAGCAAGCAGCCTCGGGCCACTGGAACACGTGTGCTTTGGGGTAGGGCTCCGTACATTTTCTTCTCCATCCACTGCTGTGTGCACCTGTGGCACAACCAGCTATAAAACAATTGTGAGAGCGACACACTAGGTTTTCTGCCTCCCCTGGTTACTTCAGAAATGAAACAAATAAGAAGGAACGTGATTAACTTTGGTATAAATCCTGAACTGCACAGAGCAAGCAGACCCTGAGCTCCTATTCAACGTGCCTGGTGAGTCTGAAACCAGCAGGCAGGCTGATGAAAAGTGTGGGCGAAAAAAAATTTTAAAAATTAAACCAGATAGAAAGGAGTATTTCCACACATGAGGAGCAATTTGGCTGTGAAACTCAGAGCCATGATGCAGCTGAAGCCAAGAATGTAGCAGGACTCAAAGAGAAATGGGATACTTATCCTGATCTTGAGCATATCTGGAGCTGCTACAGGTAATGTTTATCCAATAAAAAAGCAAATGAAGAGCACCCACATGGAGTGAAAGGATTTTAATGTACTGGGAATTCACCAAGACTTAATTAGCAGCTCAGAGCAGAGCTGTGTGGGCCACCCTACTCCATGCCTGCTCACCATAACTTTGCTGCTACCCCTTCCTTCAAACCACGGAGGGAACAGTCACCAGCTCCAGTTGCTGGCAGCATGAGCGAGCATTTACAGCCTGGAGACAGCAGCTACAGCCAATTCATCTTCTCCCACTATAGCAGAAGTTAGCTGCTGCCAGTAACTGAAGGCAGTTAGCTGCTGCCTTGCTCATGTGAACACCTTCAGCCAACAGCCAGCCATAGGAGCTGCGGGAGGTGAGCCAGAGCCATGGTTTGACCACGTAAGAGGTCTGAGAGCACCTGCGTGTTGCTGCTCCCTGCCTTAGGTCACTCAGCTGAGTGTGTTCTGGAGTGGTTTCTCCCACTGCTCCATGCTGGAAGGGAGGTTCTCAGGTCTCTTACACGACTACTGCAGCAGGATCCAGGTAACAGCGCCCTTCCATGTCCCATACGATTCTCTTCTTGCTTTCTGCTTGGATCCTAAACTCCCTGTCCTGTGAGAAACAGTGTGTGGTCAGAGCCAGGGCAGCAATCTCTACAGCTTGCATTGACCCCAGATCACTCCCTCAAAATATTCCCTGGGAGAGAACGTGAGTCAGAGGGGAGTCCAGCTTACCAGCCCGTCCTAGCAGAGTATGTTAGCAGCCCTCCCTGCAGACACCAGAGCCCATTAGTATCAAGAGCCTGGCTTGCAATGAGATATAATACAACCCCCAGCCCAGCAGCTTGGGAGTGGGGAGCTCACTGGTGACCAGACCTGCCACATGCACCCTAGGGAGCTCTCCTGTGGGCAGTTACCACACCCACTGTCCCAGGGGAACCATCTCCGTGTCTGGACACTGCGCAGAGGACCGACCACCAGCCTTCCTCCCCTCTTCCCATAACAAATCTCTGCAAGTCTTTCTCAGTCCCTTCAGCGAAATCTGCTGGTTCTCTTCCAGCCATGGCACTGCCAGTCCTTCCTCACCTCTCTTTTGTTGAGCTCTCCATCCTCATCCTCATAGGGACCACCAACAATGAAGGAGTTGGGTATGCTGAGAGCACCAGGAGCCGTGATGTTAGCAAGGGGCCATTTTTTGGGTCGGGGTAATGGTTCTGTTTCACCAGCAAGCTTCAGGATGCCGTTCTTGAAGAGCAAGGGGAACTCCTTCTAGAGAGACATGAGAACGAAAGGACTTGCATTTCCAACATGAGCAGGAGCGAGTGCCAGCAGCTCCATGCTGGGTCTAACAAAGCAAAGCCTGTCTTGGCAAACACACTCCACCACACACATACAAAGAATGGAGCAAAAATAAATAGCCATGTGGAAGAAAACCCTGCCGGTTTCAACCCAAATCTTGCCGAGCAGACCTTTGTGTTAAGGAAACACATCACGCCACAGAGACCCCGAGCACTCGCAACAAAGGCTGGCACAGAAGCTGTACACCCCATGGGCCTGGACGTTTGTTCCACGGTGCGCAGGGAGGGAGAACAATCCACTTTGTAGTAGCCAAAACCCCTCTCACCCGTGCCTGGATCAATCCTCACCTCCCCAGCAGCTGGTACTTGCAAGCAAGCCATGTAGTTTTGTTGGGGCCCATCGGGAGCAAACGCTTCGGGGACGGAATAAGCTGCCTCCAGCGTGACACTCAGGAGGTTACCATCTGAGAGCTGCGTGGCAGAAAGCAGAGGCTCTTCGGTGCTCACGGTCACTTCAAGGCCACCCTGTGAGACAAGGATAAAGTCGAGCCAGTAAACTAGGCAATTACGACCCAGAAAGCCAAGGTCAGAATGTAGAATGTTATCTGATTCCTCACCTCAGATGTAAAAGAAAACAGACCAGCACTGGAAAGGAATTTTGTGATCAGTTTGTCTGGATTGTGATATTTGTTTGTTTAAATCGGAGCCTGCTCGAGGCATGGCAGATGCCCCAAGAGTCTCATAAAACGAGCTGGGGAGAAAGAGTCGGGGTCTTCTCCAATGAGCCATGGAGAAAGAACATCAGGGATGGAAAATAATGATTTTCCCCTGGTGATTCAGAGCGTGCCAAAGCTAGGGCCACGCTTCGACTCTGCTCCATCTCCACGCACTGTGTACAGTCTTTAATTACCTGGATGGATGGTGTGCGCTGAAACACCAGCGGATCAGCATTTATTATCTCTCCTCCCTAATGGGCACCCCCCTGCCTCGCTTGTAACACCTCTCAAATACAGAAAAGTTAATGCCACATCCGCCCCTCCAATTCCCTCGCAGCGCTAACCGCGGGCAGACTCAGGAGAAAAATTAGACACGTTTCACATTTTCCCAGTCTCATCCTATATTCCCTGCTTTATTCGCTGGGTACTTTTTGACCAGCTGAATGAATAAGGACTTTGCAGGGAAGGCACTCACAGCTTGTACAATAACGCACCCTGAGACATTTTATCCACAGAAAGGAAGACTAATAAAGTTGGGAAGCTAATCCTGCCCTTGTTGTTTTCCGATTTTTCAGCTCT